CTGTTTTGCCTCACCCCAAGCCCCCTCATGCTACTTGATATATTTCTTTTTTCAGCTCAAGCTGCCCCTTAAATTTGGCAAATAAAATTAATTTGCTAAACCTTGATAAAAACAAGAAATGGTTTTTAAAAGTTTTTTTCAATATGAAAATTACATCAAACATTTATAAGTTTCGAATTTTATAGCCTTTTCTAAACCCTCAAGCATCAAGAATCAGTCTTTTTTTGTTCTTCTTCTATTGCTACTACTCTGAAATAATGTTATCTATCTAATATTCTAGTAAGATTCATTTTTTTATTTTGCTTGAGAAATTTATGTTGGAACCTGCTTATTTAAAAGGCGATCACGTAGTATACTGCCGTAGCTTCTATTTTTGATTTTATGATTACACTCACTTAAGTTATTTTTCTGTTTTATTCTATAAAAAATATCTGCTCATTGGAACCATTGTATGTATTCTTCTTATGATACTTGTATCCAACTGCTTTGGTAGCATACATCTTTTGTCACTGACAGCTTAATATCTAATACTTCTTTCTTTACATATAATGTAAATGGATTATCCAGTAAAACTAAACGAACGAACGTTTTTCATTGGTTAAGATCAGAAAAAGTTGATACTTCAAGAGGTACATTTTAAAGAAACGTGTAAAGATGAATGGGAAAATAACTGGGATGGTACAATTATATGTAGTGGCAATTCGAATAATCAAATGGTGTTGCTATCTTGTTAAGAAATGATTTGAAAATACAAATTCTAGAACAAGGGTACCATAGTCACAAAATACGCCCGTTTATGAAAGCTTTAGATGGAGATGGGGGCATTAGGGATAAGTGTTATCTAGCAAGCAAGTTTTTATTCTTGGCACTGTGTTGCTAAATGAACCTTAAAACAGATCAGTACGGAAGATATGCACAGGATGTGTGACCTTGACCTTGGGCGCAGGAACCTGGATTTTATGCACGGCACTCAGCCTCACAATAATGAACATTTGTGCCAAATTATATTGAAATCCCTCTATGCACGTAGAAGTTTTGCTCCAGACAAGCGTTTTTCTATGAGCTCTAACTGTGACCTTCACCTTTGACCTAGAGACTTGGTTTATGTGCAGGGCACTACGTCTCATGGTGGTGCACAATTCTATAAAGTAAAATTAAAATTCCTCCATGCATGTAGAAATTTGCTCCGGACAACATCTGGATATTTAATCATCTCCAGTGACCTTGACCTTGCAAATATTAACCTAAATTAAATGTGTCACACCTGTAGTCATGATAGTTACCATTTGTGCTACAATCAATCAATAAATGATGACTAAATGGTCCCAATACACATCTTCAAATTTTTATCTGATCTTTGACCTCTATGTGTAACCTTGACCTTGGTCGCGGGGATCTGAATTTTACGTACCACACTCAGCCTCACAATGGTGAACATTTGTGCCAAGTTATATTGAAATCCCCCTATGAATGTAGAAGTTTTGCTCCGGACAAGCGTTTTTCAATGAGCTCTAAGTGTAACCTTGACCTTTGACCTGGAGACCTGGATCATGCATGGAACAATACATATCATGGTGGTGAACATTTCCATAAAGTATTATAAAAATTCTTCCATACATGCAGGAGATATGCTCCAGACAAAATCTGGATATTTCACCATCTTTAGTGACCTTGACCTTGCATATATTGACCTAAAGTACATGTTTCACAGTCGTAGTCATGATAATGACCATTTGTGTTACAATCCCTCAATAAATGATGATTAAATCGTCCCTATACACATCTTCATATTTTTATCTAAACTTTGACATCTATGTGTGCCTTGACCTTGGCTGCAGGGACCTGAATTTTGTGCGCGACACTCCGCCTAACAATGGTGAACATTTGTGCCAAGTTATATTGAAATCCCTCTATGCATAAGGAAGTTTTGCTCCGGACAAGCGTTTTTCAATGAGCTCTAAGTGTGAACTTGACCTTTGACATAGAGACCTAGTTCATGTGAGTGACATGGCTTCTCATAATGGTGAACGTTTCTATGAAATTTCATTAAAATCCCTCCATGCGTGTAGGAGATATGCTCTGGACAAAATCTGGATATTTCAACATCTTTAGTGACCTTGACCTTGTATATATTGACCTAAATTATATGTATCACAGCCTTAGTCTTGATAATGACCGCCCGCCCGACCGCCAGGGGCGTTCAATAATACGTCCCGTTTTTCAACTGGGCGTATAAAAATATGAAATTGAAATTGGTAGATTGTTGGCAATTAAAGTAAATATTGAAAATAAAGAAATAATAATAATAAATATATACGGTCCAAACAAGGATGATGTAGACCTCTTTCAAAAATTATTACTTGTTATTACTAGAATAAAAAGTTACAAAATAAATAATGGCGAAAGAAATATAAAATTACTAAAAGGATTAGAAAAAAGAAATGCGGAAAGTAAACTTATAAAATGTTTAAATGCAAATGGTAATATTTTAACAAATCAGACAGACATTTTAAATGAACAGAAAAAATACTATGAGAATCTATAAACCATTCAAGACGAAACTCCCTCAAATTACATTTTTTTCAATGGCGAAACAATACTTACTAAATGAAAACGAAAATCAATCTTGTGAAGGAACTATTACGCAAACTGAATGCGAAACTGCCATCAAAGATATGAAAAATCGAAAAAGTCCAGGTTCAGATGGTTTAAGTATAGAATTTTATAAAATATTTTGGAATTATTTAAAAGATGATTTGAAAAGTGCTCTGAATTTTTCTTTTGAAATTAATTGTCTCAGTCAGCTACAAGCACAAGGTTTAATAACTCTAATTCAAAAACCAAATAAAAATTTATCAATATTGTCAAACTGGCGACCAATAAGTTTACTGAATGTAGATTATAAAATACTTACTAAGGTTATCGCTTATAGAATTAAACGGGTATTAAATACACTCATTGATGATAGTCAAACAGGTTTCATTTAAGGGCGATACATAGGTGAAAATATAAGATTGCTTTATGATGTGATAGAGTATGCAGAAAAGAATGATAAACCGGGACTTCTATTTTTTGCTGATTTTGAAAAAGCATTGATAGCATAAGCTACAAATACGTATTTAAAACATTAGATCTTTTTAACGTTGGACCAAATTTAAAAGCATGGATTGAACTTATTTACAAAAGACCCACGAGTTGCATACTTTACGATGGTTTTTGTCTGAGTCATTCCCTATAAAAAAAGGAGTACGACACGGATCTCCATTGTCTCCTTATATATTTATCCTAGCAATTGAACTATTGTCAATAGCTATAAGACAAAATAGGAATATTGAAGGTTTTAAAATTTTTGATGTAGAAGTTAAAAAAAGCATGTTTGCAGGCGATGCAACTATAATATTCAAGGGAAAATCAAGCAGCTTTGAAGAAACTTTGTACATATTTGATCAATCTTCCTTTATTTCTTGTCTTAAACTTAATTACAAAAAATGTACAGTTCTCAGAATAGGTTCACTGAGAAATCAACATGGTTAAGTCTATTGTAGAAAAAAATATTCAAATATAATTTGAACCTCAGAATGTGCAAAAACATAAGGCATAACTTTCCATTCAGAATGTGACTTAATAACTAAAATAAATTACGAGAATAAAGTAAACTAATTTCAAGCAGACATTAATAGATGGAGGGCAAGACGTTTAACAACAATTGGCAATATATCAATTTTAAAATCCTGAATTATTTCAAAACTAACCTTAATAATATCTTTTCTTCCGAGTCCACCAGAAGAAATTATGAAAACAATTACACAAAATTGTTTTGAATTTATATGGCACATGAAAAAAGACAAAGTTAAAAGGGATGTAATTATACAAGACTTTAAATATGGAGGCTTAAATATGATAGACTTGCCGATTTTTATGAACTCGATTAAATCAAGCTGGATCAAAAGAATATTTGCTGAAAATAACCATTTATTGTGGAAAGAGATAATATAGGAAAATTTACAAAAATAGGTGGAATCGACATATTCAAAAGTAATTTAAACAGATATGATATACAGAAACTTAAAATCGAAAATACTTTCTTAAAAGAATTACTACTGTCATGGAGTAAAATAAATTTTAACAAGAGCCACCGCCGGGCTGGGGCAACGCTCGACTTTTTACTTTTTCTAAACGCAAACATAGAAAGGTTTGAACATATATTAACGTTTCCTTTTTATAAATTTAGTTGGTCTGTCTTGTCACATTAGTTTTCTTTATATATTTGGTATATATATGAAAAGAAACATTAAGCATATTTCTAAAAATAGCAACAGTACACAATTTCTTAAAATAGCAACATGACGCAATTTCTAAAAATAGAAAAAATGACCCAATTTCTAAAAATACAAAAAAATGACATAATTTCTAAAAACTGAAAAAATGACGCAAATTCTAAAAATAGCAACAATGAAGCAATTTCTAAAAATAGCAACATTGACGCAATTTCTTAAAATAGAAAAAATGACGCAATTTCTAAAAATAGCAACAATTTCTAAAAATAGCAACAATGATGCAATTTCTAAAAAAAGAAAAAAATGACGCAATTTCTAAAAATAGAAAAAATGACGCAATTTCTAAAAATAGAAAAAATGACCCAATTTCTAGAAATAGAATCTAAAAATGAAAAAAAATGACACAATTTCTAAAAATAGAAAAAATGACGCAATTTCTAAAAACAGCAACAATAACGCAATTTCTAAAAATAGAAACAATGACACAATTTCTAAAAATAGAAAACAATGACGCCATTTCCAAAAATAGCAACAATGACGCAATTACTAAAAATAGAAAAAATGACGCAATTTCTAAAAATAGAAAACAATGACGCAATTTCTAAAAATAGCAACAATGACGCAATTTCTAAAAATAGAAAAAAATGACGCAATTTCTAACAATAGAAAAAAAAGACGCAATTTCTAAAAATAGAAAAAATGACGCAATTTATATATAATGGGCACAGTCATGCGATTTGGGGTCTTAATGACATTTTTATCGATTTTGAGATTTTCACATCAAATTAAAGCTCATTAAATATGCTTTCCAGCGATATAATTCATATGCAAAAGAGATTATTATTTTTTTCAATACGACTAATTTCACAACGTCATGTTGAAATTTCTTGACGTTGTTTTTGTCGTCGCTAAATTGACGTCAATGTTTCCCATTTATCACGTCATCGTTTCCCGCTTTTCTTGCATCAGGTGTGTTCAAATGACTTTACTATTTATTGGCGAGGGCAAAACATATTAGGCCCTATTAACTTGAAATAATGAATAAGTAAATGGTATGGCAGTGGTACATTTTATATGATTTTATTATCATGACCAAAGAGATTTTTTCTGAGTACGTGAGTTTGTAACATTTTTCGAAATGTTTATTTAATGGAACTGTCTGTTAAAACATCAAACGGAAATAATATTCTTGAAACAAAAAGAAAATTAAAGTTTTATCAATCAATAATTTTTATTTCTCTATTTTAACATTTGCTTCAAATGTGTACACCACAAAACTCGTCTCTATACGCTGGTCTGACGTATGGCCGTACGGAGTTGGTCAGGTAGGTTTGCCGCCGTTGACTAAGCCCACTTGGTTGTATTGTTTCTGGTCTGACAGCCAATTCAAAACGCGAGGACTGATTCTTTAAAATACAAATCTTTTCCTCACTTTGATCTTCAGATGAAATCCGCACGGTAACAATACCTGGTTCGTCTGCAGTAAACCGGAAGTACTGATATTTCCTGAAATTAAAACTCATCATCTCATTTCTGCTAAGCAATATTAATCTTATTATGAAAGTTATACTGATTAAATCATATTTTTAACTCAGTTACGAGAACTTCTATCCTATTTATATTATTCTTTTCATAATTATTTCTATTATTTATTTGTAACATCATTACTACCACTATGTTAGTATTATAAGTATATTATTATTATTATTATTATTAAAGCATTATATATTATTATTAAAGCATTATATGTATGTTGCATCTGTTTACTACCTTATTCCTTTCACTGCTTTAAATTTTCCATCTAAGAATGACTTCCAATTTCTCCATGCCCATTGTGGAAAACGGACAGCAACATTTGTTTTTGATGATTTGTTTACAACATTTTCAAGCTGTCCAAGCGTCTCTACATCTGTACGTCTATATACTCGCTTGATGTGGGCGAAGCCGGAATCTACTAAACATCGGGCGTGTCCTGTTTCAATATAACAAGGCTAAACATTTTAACATGCTAATTTAAAGGTATAAATTGCTGCACATTGTTTTAATACTAAAAAATCTTTGTCAGGTAGAAACGAGAATTTCTAGCATGTCATTTAGGCACAAAGCATTTTGAGTAAAACTAACAATGAATGTTTTAATATTCCGAAATACATAAACATTAAATATCAAGCGCCAATGTTTTTTTAATTCTCCGAGAGAAGCCTTAGCGGTATCGTCGTGATGTTGTGATGTCTTGGTCAAGAGAACATAGCATGTGTCTTTTATAAAAACCGCTTTCATTCATCGGGCATGGATCACAATTTAATAACTCATGCGTACATAAAAGCGATTTTCAGCCGATAATGTATGATAATCTGTTCCTATTTTCTTTTTGTTGAGTAAATCAAAATTAAATTATAGATTCCGTTTGCTTCCGTTTAAAACGGTGCACGTAGAATCACTCGTGCGTAAAGAATATTACCAACTTACCTGGAATTTGCATTAAGTATTCTATCACTTCATTCTGACCAGTCATTACTCTCCACATAAAATAAGCAAGCACATACTTATTTTTGTTCTGCCCTGAAAAGAAAATTCACTGCTTGTTTAATAAAAGCGAGAATGAATATAACAGTTTTATCGGGGTATTTTTTCATTATAACAATAAAACAAATCTATCATCACGCAGATTAATTAACTATATTTTTATGGAATTTTAATCAAATGCAAGCTAAGCTTGAATATAAAATAAGAGTCTTATAAACCAAAAATATTAATATAAAGTTGTAATGATAATAAGAGAAGTTAGTTATTTCAGTACTGTTACATTATTAAAGGCCCATATTATGCCTCAGATGTGCTATCAACTTGATTTCTCAAAAACTTTTTGTCGGTATCAAGTTCTAGTTTCTACAAACTACTCATTTGCTATAAAAGTTAACTATCTTTAACTTCTTTTGCTCTGTTAGAATTAGTATTTGTATTTGAAGTCAAAATACTACTCTTTAATATTTTGCTTCTTTTACAACACATTACTGTACACTTTGCACTACTTTTTCAGTTGTTAAACATTCAACATGCTCTAAATATATAAATTAAGCATTATTAAATATGTTTTATATTTCTAAACAATTAAAAGAAAATAATGATTTCTGAAGTATAAATGCGCCTTTTAACAGAATAGAATGTGTATAATTTACCTGGACAATTATCAGCATGGATTGAAAACTTTCTCGCTCTGACACAATGTTCCTGTAGTGCCCAATCAACCATGGAAATAACTGCGTCAGGGCCGTGTGTTTTGGATCCATCCTCTCCCACTGTCTCGTTTTCATCAATCAAAAAATTCAGTTGCTTAGGGATACCGTCTATACGGAAACCAAAAATCTGTACTTTTCGCAATGTTAGAAAATACAACGGTCCCATTTGTCTTGCGTGATGTGGCAAACTCACGTTTTGGCAAAAATCAAAGGTAAAATGAAAGTATTCGTCTTCCTCAGCACTTCTTCTTAAACATGTGTTGTACGTGTCCCTCTCCTTTAAATGTAAAAAAAGTTAGCAATTTCACAACTAAAGGTTTATCAAACATTCCTGTTTACTGGAATAGTATCAAATTTCATAGCTTTTAAACGTTATATTTCATTTACATTATTAAAAATCAAGAAAAAGGAGATAAACATTAAATTATTAATCTTGTTAATCAATTTTGACTCTAATAATTCACATGTTTTAATTAATATTTTAAATGTATAGTAAACTAGTACATACCCTTTGAGCTAAAAGAATGTGTTGTCGCATATTAGCTAAGGCCTCCAGCTTATCTTCCTCTGACACTGCGTCTGATATCATCTTTCTCATTCGCTCACACGTAGCGCAGACGTCATCTCTTGGTGTTGCTATTCTGATGTGAGGCATGCACGTGGACCAGAGAGTTTTGAACATCGAAAGCGAGACGTGCTTGATTTGTGGAATGGCTTCAGTACAAGAAATACAGTAATCCTTGTGCATCTGGACCTTTGTTGTATCGGACGGTAAATAAATTGGCGGAATATCATCTCGTCCCCTTGGTGCGGCAGGCTGGTGTATTCCTCTTTCATCAGCAAAGTTACTTATAAAATGTATAACTCTTGTAACGTCGTCAAAGGTTATAGCATTATGGGGTTTTCTGCCAGTATTTCCATGTATACGTGGAGCAATACCTTCCTGAAAAACTTGCTTACTTAAGCTACTTAGCGTTTTCTTCCCTATGCCATGACAAAGTAGAAATGTCTTTTTACAAACTTCAGTACCATGAAACGTATACTTTCTTCTCATTCTTTGACGTTTTTTACCACGTTGTGTTTTTTCTGTAGATCTTTCATCATTTATCAGACCCATAATGTAAATTTCCTTTGTTTCTTTTTCCATCTCTTTCATATTAAGTAGGTACTGATATATCTGATCTTCAGTGAATTTTCCGCTACACGCTAACCTACAACATTTACTAGATTTATAAAGTGTAACCTGCTTGCGGTCAGAATCTGGTTCAACATAGTCATCACAGACTTCATCTTCATCGGACCATTCAAGCTCTTCATCCCTTTCAATGTCTTCCGAACAACCATTTGCACCAGTACTTGCGCCTCTATCCTGGTAAAGGAAGTCTCGCACCCGGCTCTCCACTATATTATTTTCCCTGATGTCTTGGTCAGAACCGCTATCGCTGCTAACTTCTTCCTGGGTATTACAGGGTGTAGTCAATGGTGTTCTGCCAAAATGCTCCGATAAAAGGCTCTCTAGTTCCTGAAAATAAAACACAAATGATATACTAATCCTACCTCTTTTATCAAACATAATTATATGACTATTGAATAGAAAAATTAAATGCACAATCTTAAAATTGGATATTTTACTGTTAAACTGCTTGCTGTTTGTTTAATCGGCATGTGAATATAATATAAAAAATGCCTAAAAAAATAATGTACGGCAGGTTTTGAACTTCAACCGCCCGCACGCAAAGCGAACGGCGTAACCGTTGAGCTACAGAGACATTAACATTTATTGTGGAAGAAATATTATATTTATACTATAACAGTGTTTAAACTAAAAACAGTGCGGTCTCAGACGACAGTTTTTAGTTTACATAATTATTGCACTATTTTACAAATTAGTTATCACATGTATAATGTACATGTACAATCCATATAACAAAGTTTAAGGGTTCATGTTTTTGTGAACATCTTATTCATGTAGACGACATCTAGTATTAGGCTCGCAAAGTCGTAAATAATTGTTTTCTCTAAATTTATTAGATAAAAAATAAACATAGCTCTAGAGAAAAAGATAAATGTCGAAACATTCATGCTAGTCTATAAACCATGATAAACTTTAAGGCGTTGAAAAGGGCAACATATGTGAAAAGGGATTCATGTATTCTACTTTCGTTTTCAATTACCGACTGACCTTCAAAACATTTTTAAGATTTCTACATTCAAATGAAATCAGTTTCAAAACATAACATGGATTATTTAAAAAAAAATACTAATAAAGAAACTTACCTCTAGCTCTTCGGCCATTTTACGCCATGAAAATACGTGTAACCTGTCGATAATAATCGTAAACAAAACTTCTAGATTTACATGTGTAATTTCGCACTTTTCTTCCGGTATGACTTTTGACGTCATTTATGACGTTTGCGCATTATGTCATTAAGACCCCAAATCGCATGACGGTGCTCATATATATATATATATATATATATATATATATATATATATATATATATATATATATATATATGTGTGTGTGTATATAAATATACATGCATATATACATATACATACACACTCATTATATATATACTATACATACAAACACACCAATAAATGCACAAACTGAGAAAATTCAGTAATATAACCTTCAAGGTTAAGGTCATTAAAGAGCCCAAGCAAATTTGGGTTTGATAAACAACAAGGTCTGGTCCTTCAGAATGTTCTGTTATAATATGAAGTTTATCCCTTCAAAAATAGCAAAGTTACAGTCAGTTACCGCCAAAACAATGAAAATTTCAATAATTTGACCTTCAAAGACAATGTCATTAATGAGTGAAGGTCAAGGTCTTTCGGTGTATTTTTAACAGTTATCTTTGAAGATTATTATGTACAAGCTTGAAGACAATCCATTCAAAAATAACAAAGTTACAGCCAATAATAGCCAAAAAATGAAAATTTCAATAATTTGACCTTCAAAGTCAAGGTCATTGATGAGTGAAGGTCAAGGTCTGACTGGTTATTTTTAAGGGATATCCTTGAAAATTATTATGTTCAAGTTTGAAGACAATCCATTCAAAAATAACAAAGTTACAGCCAATAACAGCATGAACAAGCAAAAATTGGACTTTAAACCTTGAAAGTCAATGTCATTTATGGATGAAGGTCAAGGTTAGTCTGGTCTACTGAAAGGTCTTGTCCAAAGGGTTGTTGTGGCCAAGTATGAAGACAATACATATATACATGTATATATATATATATATATATATATATATATACACATACACACACATATATATATATATATATATATAATACATATACTATACATACACACACACCAATAAATGCACAAATCTGAGAAAATTCAGTAATATAACCTTCAAGGTTAAGGTCATTAAAGAGCCCAAGCAAATTTGGTTTTGATAAACAACAAGGTCTGGTCCTTAAGAATGTTCTGTTATAATATGAAGTTTATCCCTTAAAAAATAGCAAAGTTACAGTCAGTTACCGCCAAAACAATGAAAATTTCAATAATTTGACCTTCAAAGACAATGTCATTAATGAGTGAAGGTCAAGGTCTTTCGGTGTATTTTTAACAGTTATCTTTGAAGATTATTATGTTCAAGTTTGAAGACAATCCATTCAAAAATAACAAAGTTACAGCCAATAATAGCCCAAAAAATGAAAATTTCAATAATTTGACCTTCAAAGTCAAGGTCATTGATGAGCTCTGACTGGTTATTTTTAAGGGATATCCTTGAAGATTATTATGTTCAAGTTTGAAGACAATCCATTCAAAAATAACAAAGTTACAGCCAATAACAGCATGAACAAGCAAAAATTGGACTTTTAACCTTGAAGGTCAATGTCATTTATTGATGAAGGTCAAGTTTAGTGTGGTCTACTGAAAGGTCTTGTCCCAAGGGTTGTTGTGGCCAAGTATGAAGACAATACACCAAGAAATAAAAAAGTTATGATCCAGGTACAAGTTTTCGGACGGCAACGGCAACGGCATCGGCAACGGGCAACGGCAACGGCAACTGCAACGCCGACCTGACTATAGCAATACCTCTACTTTTTTTTTCAAAAAAAAAAAAAAGTCGAGCTAATAAAAATCCACAAAATCTTTAGACCAAATAATATGGCAGAATTCACACATAAAAAATAATGGATCTTTAATTCTTTTTCCAAAATGGAAATGTCGAAATATCAATAAAATAAAGGATATTTTTAAACTGAAACAAAACAATTTAAAACATTTGACCAGCTGAGACTTACTTTTAACATTCTTGATACAGAAATATTTAACTTTTATAAATTAATTTTATCAATACCCAAAGAATGGAAACGTAAACTACAACAAAGTTATCAAACTTCAACGCCTAAAGAAATAAGCACTTTTGATATCATAGAAAAAACGAACACGTCCAATATTAATAACAAGTTAACACAGATTCAAAAACAAATAAGACTTTGTAAAAATAAAAAAACAAAATCGCAAATAAAATGGGAAGAACGATTTCCTCAAAAAGAATTTCAATGGCAAAATATTTACGAAACGTTTTTGTTTATTGCAAAGATAATATTTTACAAAACTTTCAATATAATTTTTTATACAGGAATATTGCAACAAACAAATTTCTCCTTTAATGTTAATTAACCGAATCTAGTCTCTGTGATTTTTGCTGTATGGATGTTTAAAGTATAGAACACCTATTTTGGGACTGCCAAACAGTACAAATATTCTGGAATAGTTTACTCAAATGGCTTAATGAAATAGTAATAAATGTTACATATGATCACTTTACATCTTTCTTTCATGCTAAAGATAAGAAAACATCGTATATCTTTTTTCAAAATATTACATTTATACCAGTAAATTAAAAAAACAAACTCCAGATATAAGTATCTTCAAAAGAAAATTTTTGAACAGATTTAAAATTGAAATATTTGTTGCGTTACAAAATGATACATTAGAATAATTTGAAAATTGCTGGATAAATCTCATTGTCTTGTTTGATTTCTTGTTTGATTTGCAGAAAAAATGCTTCTAAAGCAGTTAATTTACTTTTTACTTTTTATTTACTTTTCAACCTTTTGCCCCTTTTCTTGTGTAATTGTATAAATGAATGAACCTCTTTACTTTTTAAAATGTCTTATACGTATATTCTAACTAAAAACATTACAAAATAAATTTATTTTTAATTATCTACATATCAATGAAAATGCTAAAGTTATCAATGGTTTGTATTCTTGTATTGTATTATTTTTTCTTAAATAAACGGGCTTTAAACGTTGTTCCAAAAACAAAAACTGAAAAAAAAAAAAAAAAAAAAAAAACAATACAAGAACCGGTTGAACCGGGTGATGCTCCCCGAAAAGGTTTTGGACACACAGGAAAGTATAAAGACAATGAACAAAGGGCAAAAACTAAAATAAGGCAAAGCAGAGTTATGTTTTTTTTTGGACTGCACTTCTATTCAATGAGATCTATCTATAAAGTTTTGTGATGATATCTCATAGTTTCAGAGTTAAGTCCTGGACAAAAATCAAAGTATAAAAATAAACAAAGGGCAATAACTCCAAAAGTAGACAAGGCTGTGTTAAGGTTCTTAAGCATTGCAGTTCTATCCAATGAGTTCTATCTACCTACAAAGTTTCATGATGATATCTCTAATAGTGTTAGAGTTATGTCCCTGACAAAACTCAACAAGAGGGCCATGATGGTCCTGAAGTCGCTCACCTGTATATAGGCCCCCCGGAGAGGGGCAAGTTTAAACCCCAGGGCTTTTATTTGAACAAACTTTGTAGACACTCTCTAGAACATGCTTCGTGCTTAATATCTAAACTCTAGCTATTTGAGTTTTTTCAAAGAAGATTTTTTAAGTTTTTGTTATACACATATAAGGAAAATGAATGACCCCCGGGGCGGGGCAAATTTTGACCCCAGGGCTTTTATTTGAACAGTCTTTGTAGACACTTTCTAGAAAATGTTTCAGGCTTAATATCTAAACTCTAGACATTCATTAGAACATGTTTCATGCTAAATATCTTAGCTTTAGCTCTTTGGGTTCTTTAAAAGAAGATTTTTAAAATATTTCTTTAATTAAGCATATACGAAAAATCAATGATCCCCTGGGGCGGGGCTAATTTTGACCCCAGGGCTTTTATTTGAACAAATTTGGTAGACACCCATTAGAAGATGTTTCATGCTAAATATCTAAGCTCTAGCTCTTTGGGTTCTTAAAAAGAAGATTATTTAAGTTTTTACTATATACATATAGGGAAAATCAATGACCCCCTAGGACGGGGCCAATTTTGACCCCAAGGCTTTTTTTTAACAAACTTGGTAGACACTCACAATAAGATGTGTCATGCCAAATATCTAAGCTCTAGCTCTTTTAGTTTTTTAAGTTCAGCATGGAATTAAATTCTTTGAACAATTTTCAAAGGTGACCACCAAAGGAACATTCCTGTGAAGTTTGGATGAAATTGGCTTAGTGGTTTATGAGGAGATGTCATTTAAAGTAAAAGTTTACGGACGACGGACGGACGGACGGCGGACGAAAAGCGACCACAAAAGCTCACCCTGTCAGAAAGTGACAGGTGAGCTAAAAAGTAAAAATAAACAAAGGGCAATTACTTCAAAATAAGGCAAGCAGAGTTATGATTCTTTAGCATTTCACTTCTACCCAATTAGACGAATCTACCGTCAAAATTTTATTTTGATATCTCTAATAATTTTAGAGTAATGTCCCGGACAAAATAAAATTAAAACAGTCAAAATGAACATAGGGCGATAATTCAAAAATTAGGCTATGCAGAGTTACGGTTCTTTAACAATGCACTTCTTCTTTCTATCTGCAAAGTTTCATGTTGATAACTCTTACAGTTTTAGAGTAATGTCCCGGACAACCTTCAAAGTGTACAAATAAACAAAGGGCAATTATTCAAAAATTAGGAAAGGCAGAGTTACGGTTCTTGTGTACTGCACATTTGCTCAATGAAATCTATTTACCTACAAAGTTTCATGTTGATACCTCTAACTTATAATTTTAGAGTAATGTCCCGGACAAAGTCCAAAGTGTAAAAATAAACAAAGGGCAATAATTAAAAAATTTGGAAAGGCAGAGTTACGGTTATTGTGCACTGCAGACCTACTCAATGAGATCTATCTACCTACAACGTTTCATGTTGATACCTCTTATAGTTTTAGAGTTATGGCCCGGACAAAGTTCAAAGTGTAAAAATAACAAAGGGCAATAATTAAAAAATTAGGCAAGGCAGAGTTACGGTTATTGTGCACTGCACACCTACTCAATGAGATCTATCTACCTACAAAGTTTCATGTTAATACCTCTTTTTGTTTCAAAGTTATGTCCCGGACAAAAAAGCGGACGGACGGACAGACGGACGGACGGACAAGGCGTCGACTATATGCTCCCCCGAAATTTTCTAGTTGTCTAAATATATGCACGGTTGTTTGACATTATCACAAGTTGGGAAGATCAGCGAGTGGATCAGTGCCAATTAGTCTTGCTTTGAATAATAAGTGTGAAATTCTTTCATATTTGTATAATCGGGACCTAAATTTTACTTCGTATTCGATAACGCATTTCGAATAATAAAATTTGTATTTATATAGATTTAAAAGGAGAAACAAGAGGGTCGAGAGATGGCCCTAGATCGCTCGACTGACCAAACAAACTCATCAGAGCAATTACTTAGGCAAACGTTTAATGACAATTGAGTCAAAAATGTGACCACTAGATTTTAAACAAGGTTTTTTCATATTTGGGATGTGTGACCTAGTTTTTGACCCCAGGTGACACAAGTGTTTCACAAAAAAGGAACAGACGGACGGACAAGGGTGAATCTAAATCCCCTCCCCAATAGTGGGGGCACACAAATCATATAGATTCATTTTATATTACATCTGATATCAAGTAAAAATCTATTATACTTTAAACAATATTAACTAGAACTATCGCTGAATGCGATTCATACCCCCACCAATGTCCTTGACAGAAGACCACTGGGAGGGGTGGTTAAGGGTATAACTTAAGTGGCACAAATAGATAAAAAGAAATTATCTCTGGTGAAAAAAAGACTTATTGTACAGGTAATAGTATAACTATATATTATCAAAGCATGTTCGAAACAGTTACAAATAACCTTTCATTTTCCCAATGTACTAAACATTTTATTTATAAGTCAATTTTTGACCTTCAAGTGTGGCCTTGACCTTAATCTGGCACAAGGGTAAGATGAGTTTTGCACATCGCCAAGTTAAGGTGAACAATTGAGTAAAGTTTGAAGAAAATCCTTCCATTAGTATAGAATGGATAGAGGGGACACAACATATTGTGAAGTATTGATTGTATGTTAATTTGAAGACTTGCAAAGGGGCATAACTTTGTTAAAATGCAATACAGAGTTATGAAACTTGACCAGCGTTTCTTATTGTGACACTTCATGTATATATTTCAAGTTTCAAGCAAGTACCCTTTCTAGATTCAGAAATATTCAAATAAATGTTAAAATTTAAGAATATTTTCTAAGTCAATTTTTGACCTTCAAGTGTGACCTTGAACTAAAGCCAACAAAAGGGTGACATGAGTTATGCACATCCCCTTGTTGCGGTGAACATTTGAGCCAAGATTGAAGAAAATATTTCAATCAGTGTTGGACTTACAGAGCGGACACAACATACTGTGTAATATTTGACTGTTTGATATGTGACCTTAAATTGTGACCTTGACCTTAAGCTGACACATATGCAACATAAGTTCTGCACATCCCCTTGTTGAGGTGAACATTTGAGCCAAATTTGAAGAAAACCCTTCAATTAGTGAAGGACTTAAAGAGCGGACACGACATACTGTGTAATATTTGATTGTTTAATATTTGACCTTCAATTGTGACCTTGACCTTAAGCTGACACATGGGCAACATGGGTTCTGCACATCCCCTTGTTGAGGTGAACATTTGTGCCAAGTTTGAAGAAAATCCTTCAATTAGTGTAGGACTTACAGAGCGGACACGACATACTGTGTAATATTTGATTGTGTTTGATATTTGACCTTCAATTGTGACATTGACCTTGAGCTGACACATGGGCAACATGGGTTCTGCACATTCCCTTGTTGAGGTGAACACTTGAGCCAAGTTTGAAGAAAATCCTTCAATTGGTATAAGAGTTATAGAGCGGACAAGAAAATGGAGACGGACCGACCAACCGACTGATTGACCGACGCGACAAAGCGAATCCATTATAGCCCCCCCCCCCCGACATTTTGTGGTGGGGTATAATTAATATAAGAGCTTCTCAGATTTTTTTTTTCAAATCATAGGCTGAAACAACCCATATTCTCATTCATTCCACATGTGATATACAAGTACCTTCAAAATTCTCTTCTGTATTTTCTTTCTCATCTCCCACCACAGGACTAGGTTGACTATCATACTCCTTAATCTGTGGTGTTTCATCCATAGGCTCTGTCTTTATAACTGGCTTATGTAGGCCCTGTTGCCATTGAAAAATAAATGTGTTAAACTGATACTTTGTACTTTACATAGCTAATTACAATCTACAATAAATTAGTATGTTTACAATGAGAAAGTTTTGGCAGTATTTCAACACTTAAATTTACTTTTCAAGAACCATTATAATCTCTTATTCAAAATAGTAAAGGACCTTGCTGATAATCATGGGAATTCCTTTTTATTGTTTTTACATATAGACCAAGCAAGGCACAGAAAGACATTTAAAAGATTTGTAAGAAACAGACTTACAATAAATTGAAAAAAAGTTTTTTTGTGTAATTTCAAATTGATTTGAACCGTTGTAACGGTTTTCACAATTAGAATGATCTGTAAAAACGGAGTGAACAAATAATCAGAAATTTTGCACAGTTTATTGGTCAAGACTTACATCAAATCAAACATTTAATTCGAAAAATTATTCAAGTCCTGTCATATCAAAAAACCTCAGTGGAGTTCCTTTAAAGATCGAAGAGACAATTTTAGGTAGCACACCATAGTTATGTAAGCCACAGCTTCGAATGGCCAGGGAGGATATCTTGGATATAGAGAATATTCTAGATTTATATGACTGGTTGGCTTTAAAGTGCATTTTCAGCATGAAATTTGTTTTTGTGACATCTCATATGATCACTGGCAAATTCGAAAACATGACCAGAAATCACATGCTGTTGATAATAGATGTCAAGGCCGCCATTTTTTGTAAACATTGCTTTTAAACAGCATGCACGGTAAAAACCAGTCATTTTACAGGGGGTACAAATTTTTAGCAGTAGCAAAAAATCTACAAAGTTGAGCACCAGTTTCTTTGTGATATTTTGCATGTATAGGGAGTTGCTAAAGCAGAGACAGTAAACCTTTAGCCTGTATATTTGCAGGTATGTTTTGCCAGAGGGACGAAATGTGTTGTTTTGGGTCTCGGGCCACTGTAGATTTTGAGCTTCAACGGAATGAATTGCAACTTTTTTGACTGCCTGCCTATTGTAGATTGGATAATTTCTTTGTAGATTTGCAATCTTATGTCATATGTTCTCAACAAAATGTGTTTTCTTTTTCCAGGTTGTGTAGTTTGGTATCAGAATTAACAGACGTATTGCTTGTAGGAAATTGACAGCAGGATCTTGAAATTAACTGTGGAGTGCTAACTTAATTAATTTATACTCAAATTAAAAACAAGCTAACAAACCAATTATAATTTGAGCCAATTTTCCTTCTTTAGTACTAATTTGATAATTTAAAGCATTTCCAAAATGTGAGTATTACTTGGTCAAATTCATGAATTAAAGTTTAGGATTTTTTTTCCTCTAAAATTGAATTACTCTAAGAATAAATGTTATTTTCTTTTAAAAAAATCAAATATCATTGCAAAGAGAAAATTTGCTCATATCAAAGTTTTTTTTTAAGAAAATACTTTAATAAAATGAAATAAACAAATATACCTTTACTTTGAAGGTGTTGTCACCATTAGATGTTGGTTTTGGACCCATTTTAACTGGTCTTGTACTAAATGGCATATAAAATAATATTAAAACATTAAAAGTATGTCCAAAAATAAACAACTTGACTCAATATTTAGTCCATCTAAGCATTTTTTTTCCATTTTTTTATATTAAAGTAATGAAAAAATAAAATATATACACAGCAATTTTCCCCCTTATATAAAGAGGCCTATAAAAGGTCTCTTCCAAATGAAAATTTTCTTTAAATTATGCAGATTTCCCAAAAAGATCTTACAGAAGAATTTTTACTTCCCAAATAAGCAATTTTAGCAATAGTTTTTTCATAATTCAAGAAGCTAAGGCCTCTTTAAAATTAAAGCAAGAAATATGTCCAGAGGACATGGGTGCTCCTACACTCACCAATTTGTCAATCTTATGTCTCTAGGTCAAATTTTTATTTTGGCTACATGTTCCCAAGTTGAAAACTAAAAATCTGTTATTCAGTAAAAGGCAACTACGCTGACCAACATTTTTGTAAACTTTCAGGCCTACAGGTCATAAACTTTTTTAGTTACATGCAACACAAATTAAATATTGTAAAGTCAAGGGCAATAACTCTAAAAATACTAAAAATATCCACACGAAAATACCCAGGTATACAACTACACATGCTGATCAACATTCAAGTAAGGTTTCATTAAGGCCAAATTTTTTAGTTACGTGCGACACAAGTTGAAAATTGCAAATTTTTACTAAGTCAAGGACAATAACTCTAAAAATACTAAATATATCCACATGAAAATAACTAGGTGCACAACTTCACAAGCTGATCAACATTCCTGTAAGGTTTTATGACTGTAGGTTAATTACTTTTTGAGCTACGTACGACACAAAAAGGGAATGGACGAAAGGACGGAGGGATAGACTGACAAGGGTAAATCTAAATGCCCCCCCCCCCTCTAAAGTGGAGCACAAAAACACTTGCAACATGTGAAAATTTAAACTTATGTTTGAAATCAAGATTATAACATTTACTTCCGCATAGACAGTAAAATTTGTTTTTAAAATCAATGCCACATAATCTTTATACAACTAAATTTGGATAATGGACTTGCCAAGCTTTATATTTGGACCAGTCCATTGCTTTTCACTGAATTTCAATATCCATATTCAATGGATTTCAACATGCATGCAAGCTGACAAGATTATAATCTGGTGGCATAAGCACATCACTACTGTCAATAGCATTCAAAGTATTTAATGCTTGACCATACCTTGCCGACTGTTGAACTAGTGGCCGTTTTGTTAGTTTTACTGAGTCCCCTTTGAGTCCACTGTGCAGCTCATTTATCAATTTACCCAACCGTTCATCCCCTTTAAGACTGACATATTTCTATAAAATGTAAAAAAAAAAAAATATTTTAAAGAACATTGGCAAAATAAAACCCAAAACACTGATGATCTTTTTGTAAGTTCACCAGTAGAAACAAGTAGAGATTTTGATGCTAAAGCATCAAGTCGCCGGTTAGAAAAATGATTGTATTATCATAAATATAACAAAATATAAGTTTAATGGTTCAAGTATAATTAAGAGGAACAATGAGTTGAGTGAAGCTTGTAAGGCAAGTGCTATGCTGGTAATTCTTCTTGTAATTTTACTTTATACATATACTGTTGTACCATACATTGAAATCCGTATAGGTTACTAGTTCAGATTCAGATAATTACCGACAAATAATAACCGATCATCGAATATTTGCAAAGTGACGAAAAAAATATATTGTTTAATAATTACATGAAACAATACAATTTTATTGTAAAAGTGTTGTACATCATTATTATGTGCTATAGAAAAAATATATAATTTAGTTGAAATCAATACACGTATTCCAATCGTTATATACGATATATAAAATTAACGTTTAATTGCCTTACAGTGCGATAAACTATCAACACAAAGATAGTTTATTATTTTTTTCTATGTATCTAATACGACGTCATACCGATTTGGAAACCTGAGTGACGGAAACCGACGGAATATACCGAAATCAACGATTACCATTATATATTTCAATAATGTGCCTCATAAGCATAACATTATTTTGGGATGTTCAACCTAAACTAAACAATTGAACTTTCTTGTCGAATGTTTGACAGAAAGGGCCAAGTTAAACCCTTTACCAAGAAGAAAGGAAAAGGTTTTGAAAATGTATTTTTAATGTAAACAGGTTTCTCTAATGATATAAAGTATGAACCTGATTAATGAAAAATAACTTATGTAATTATCTGTACAAAATTACAATGATATGCATCTTATCAGTTACCACCAGTCTTATCAGCAATCTGTAACTATTAATAAATTTTATAACGATATACACCATACATAAACATGTAGTCACGTGATTCTTACGAAAGACCAGGGAGCATTTGTTAATAATTAGATAAAATAATGTAATATAAAAGGTCTCATAAAAAATAAACAACCAAATAATTCTAAAGTGTCATTTCAAATATCATTCATGATTTATATATTATAAAATAGCAATGCTTGACACACAGAAAAAAGTTAAAGTATCTCTTATATTCAATGACTGATCCTTGGGGATACGTTATTGATTCATTTTATGAAAATTGTAATGTTGCTTTTTAAGACGTCAATTTGTGCATATTTCATTCCACTGAGCAAAGTTATCATATGTTTGATTTTTTGTGATTACTGAAAAATAATTGTTGTCTTTAACTGTTCAATGTTTGATATGCTTTTATTTTCACATTTTAAGGGCTTCTCCTACCATAAGTATAATATTAAACTATTACAAATATAGTCGCCGGTTTCTACCGGCGACTTACAAGAGCTGTCAGTGACAAATGCTCCCGAAGCATGCAGGTATTATGAAAAAAAAGAGAATGAAAGTAACTAATTGATGAATATTGTTAATTGTATTATTGTACCTGTAATCTCTAATTATGATAGCGTGAACCTTCAAAATATAAGTGTGACCTTGAACTTTGAAGAAGTGACGTGGTTCCTGGACGCGACAAAATGTTGTTATGAGACAAGTTATTTCAATATCACTCAATGTATGATAAAGTTACAGTCTGGATGAACAGACAGACATGGGCCTTAGCCGCTACACATTGTCTTGATGTGGTAGACATTTGTTCTAAGTTATTTGAAAATTCTCCATGCATGACAAAGTTACATGAATGTGTATCTTGAAACTCTTCTCGAGAGAATGAGTACCTTCAAACTATAAGTGTGACATTGAATGTAGGGACATGTGTCTTTGTTGAAACATATTTCCATGCATGACAAAGTTACAGTCCAGACATGAATGTGTGTACCTATAAACTCGAATTGTGATAAAGTGAACTTCAAAATGGTAGTGTGACCTTGACTTTTGAGGTAGGGACGTGATTATTGGACGTGACACATTGTCTTGATGTGGCTGACATTTATGCTTAGTTATTTTAAAATCATTCAATGCATGACAAAGTTACATTCCAGACACGAATGTGTGTACCTATTTGTTCTAATTGCGATAATGTGAATTTCAAATGATAGTGTGACCTTGACCTTTGAGTTAAGGACACGGTTCTTAAACGCTACACATCGTCTTGATGTGGTATACAAAGTTATTTCGAAATCCCTCAATGAATGATAAATTACAGTCCGGACACAAATGAAGTGGGGACGCACAAACAGAAAGAAGACTGAATTGTGCGATTATATTATGCCTCCCTTCAGGGGCATTAAATGATATAGTTCAAGGATATTTTAGAAATACTTTTTGGAAAGGGAAATGGGACCAAATTTCAACCCAAAATCAGCACTATTAAAACATTGTTTTCCACAATGAAATTGTAACAACTTAGTATCATTTAACTTAACCAATTTAGGCCAACGATTAGTGAATGTATTCTCAAAAGCAAGGATAATTTTACTTATTGACTGAACAAAGATTTCAAGTGTCATTTTGACAATCCCAAAATCAAAGGGGTATCTTCTTGCCATGGGCAATGACCGTCCATGTTTTACAAGTCTATGCTTATTCCTTCTCAATTTACCGAGAAGAACCAGTCACTGTGACCTTTGACTCAAAACTAATAGGGGTCATTTACTGGCAAGCATTCACCTCCCTCTCGGGTATATTAACAAAGCACACCTAATAGTAATCAACTAATTGAGAAATCTTCATTGTCAAAATATCTTCTTTATAAAATTACATACCAACAGTACTTTGGTATGTGTGGGTTATTATTCACTTAAAGCTATATTAATACAATAATTAACACAAATTCTTAATTTCAGCTGTTTGTAGTACTAACAAATAAAACAAGAACTGTTGTTCTCTTCTCTTCTAAGTGCTTGGTAAATGTAAATTTTTGTAAGTTCAACAAGGGCCATAATTCTATACCAACTTGCACACAAAAACTTCTCTGAATAGTTGAACTAAAAAATGCCTGCTATTAAATTTACCTCGGGCTTCCTCATGCTTGTAGCTGCCTGTTCCATTAACCATGACTTCATATTTTGTTCTGGTTTTGATCCGAACCTCATTACTGGTATCGTGAGATTCTTTTCCTTCATGTCTTCCTTTTCTTCTATAAATTAAAATACACAAAAGATTACAAGAATCACGTCTGTACATATTCCATGAAAAACGAAATTTTCATGGAAATTGCCAACTCTGGATATTTCGGACTAGTTTTCCGGAGTTGTTCAAAGAAAACTGAAAAAAAAATGAATTTTCATGTACTTTCTCCCTGAATTTCCAGAGCTTATTTCATGAAACTGTTCCAGAATTTTCCATAAAAATGTTGCAGAGTTTTCAAAGCAACTCTGGAAATTGTTCTGCTAAAATGACATACTACTCCGGAAAAAATGTTCCAGAGTTACTCTGGAAAATGTTCCGGAGTTACTATGGAAAATGTTCCAGAACCGCTCTGGAAAAAGTTCCGCAGTTAAAAATAGGATCTGGAGTAAGATGCCATTAGCCTTGAAATAATTCTGGTTTGTTTGTTTGTTTCATTTTACGCCTTTTCCCAACAGTATTTCAGTCATAAAGGCGGGTAGTTTCCTAACCATTGGTCCTGGAAATTTACACCAGTACTAGACTACCTTCCTCTGTGCTGAAATAATTCTGAAATTAATATGGAATTAACTCTGGAACATTCTGGAATTACTATGGAATTTACTCTGGAACATTTTAGGATTACTGAAATGATGGTTGCATACTAAAATCAAATGACCTTTTAATTTGCATTTGTGTTTTTATTAGCAAATCCAAAAAAGCACTCTAGTTTTCAAGAATTCAAACACCTTATAGTAATTTGCACATTTCACAATTATTTCTAAGTCATCTTAGAAATCTTTTGAGTTGAAACATCTCAAGTGACTCCAAGACTTGAAAGTTTGCAACCTAATAAGTAATATGTTGAAAAAATAAACATTATATGTACATGAGTAACAAGAAATTACAATTAAGGCATATTATGAAATTTATTAAATGTGAATTTGGAAATTCTTTGCTTGATATGGAATCTGTTTCAATCATGGAAAATTATAATCTCTGATTTTAAATTTCCCGCAATTATTTAAAAATGAAAAATATATTCTTAACTATTAATATTGAAAAGTTACATGTATGTAGAAATACAATCACTAAAACAGTGTATACTTGCAAGAAAGTTTTAAAAAAACTAAAATTATAAGTGTTAAAAAATAAAATACATTTGTACTTACTCTAAGAAATGGTTATATACATGAAGTTCCCTCCATTTTAACTGAATCATGAAATACACATGTTTAAAAGTTTATATTTCCAGAAAACTTTGTAATTTTTAATTTGTTCAGTTTAAACTCATTTGATCTTATTTCCAATGCTCAAGCATAATATTTTTCAAGTTATAACTTTTAAGCAGTTAGGCACTAAAAAACGTTATCTTTCAATGCTTTTGTTCAAATGACCCGCCTGGAAGGAGTGTTCTCAGACCTGTGATTTGTTGTGCAAGGGTATTAAGTTACTTGGGAGCTACAGTGTAATATAGTATGTTGTAAACCTGCTTTACCTCGTTCTTTTCTCTTATATCAGATAGGTGAGTTTAACTTTGGTGTGGGTTCCACTTGAGGGGTCATAAATATTTACATTGTGGCTGGTGCTGATTTGAATGTTCCAGATAGTAATCACTATACATCAGTTACTTCTACACAGGATGAATATATAAATTATATACTTTAATAGAGATACATAATAAATTTATCATCAATTAAAAAAGAAACATTCATCAATTAAAAAAGAAACATAAGTGCATAACAATTACATTTGTTCTTAAATTAAATTGTTTCTCTTTGTGTATTTATTTTTTCTAACTTAGGGTAATATATAATAATGAACCACTCAGATCAGGCTTGATATGAGATACCTGGAAATAATGAGAGTTAAAAGAAAAAATACTTTAATGCAAAGTGCGGCAATGGGGTTGCATGTGTTTTTTTTGTTGTTTTTTTTTTTGCAATAAAAAAAGAAACAGTTAAGCTCTTGAGGGGCTTATTACGGTTTCATTTTGTTTAACTATAAGTGTTTATTTTGCTAACTGCTACTTTTAATTACAGTGAGTATACAGTTGTATGACCAATCTCAATATTAAGTAATTAAAATCCTTTTTCTTGCTGTTTTTATATATCTGGTCAACAATTTACAATTAATTGTGTCAATGCCATATTTTAAATTGTCTTTATTTTCATTATGTCTTAAAACCAGAAAACTGTCTTATATTAAAAAGATTATTTATGCCTACTTAGGAAAAAATATTAAAGTTTAATGTATTAAGTATAGTATACGTAAATGCAGAAATCAAATGAAAATTTCCTAAGTCCAAAACTTTCTCAAAAATGACTAAGTGTTTTCCAGAGTAAAACTCCTTGAAAATTGTCTAAGTGTTAACTTTCCAGAGTTTCCAGAACTGTTTCACAGTAATTTCTTTGATGAAAAAGTCATTGGTTCCAGAGTTTTCCATGAAAATTGTTTCAGAGTACTCTGTAAATACTGTGGAAAAAAGCTTGTTTCCATGAAAATTCAAGGAAAATGGGTTATTTCCCAGAGTTTTTTTGGAAAGTCTGTGGAAAATCTACAGACGGGATATCTTAGTTTCAAAGATGGATGCCCACAACACCCACAATTCATCTTGACAATGCTAATATGGGCTATGAGAAATTATTTTTAGCCTCAGTGACCTTGTGACCTTGGCCTGTTTTTCTTTCAACACTAGATAAATCCTTAAAGCCATTATTTCCATACATTTGTATGATACATCTATGTCTCATAAATGATACATCATTCACATTGAAAAACTAAGATGGCAATCAAGCAAAATATCTGGTTTCAAACAATCAATTTTCTAGTTATATTTACTCACTATCTGGTTTAGCAAAATGGTCATCTGCCAGCTCTTTGTCAAATATCTCCCTTCCATCCCCAGTGTAAGTGAAGATAATAGCTTTGAAAAAGGTCAAGGTAAAGGTCTTGTTTATTATAGTGTCACCCCTACTGAAAGGGCCAGCCATTTCTGACTTATGAGACACCCTTTGCTTGCATACCATGTACCTCCAAACTCCTACCACTAAGCCAGGCGGATAGAAATTGGTAACCATAAATTTTAACTTCTTTGCGGCTCACGAAACGGCTATTTCGGAATGAGTCCAACGAGAAACATTCATATGAAATTACCAGTGATACAAGTCTATCACATTCATGTATCAGCACCAGTCCTAAATCTGTAATATCTGTTTCTTCAACTATAGAAAAATGTGAATTCTCAGTACAGTGTGACCTTCAAGAGGACTTAAAACATGAACTACAACGAAAGCCAAGACAATGATATTTGTAATCTCAAATCTGAAAATGAAAAATTTTCAGATAATTATCAACTACTTAAAGGACAGACTCTCAGAAAATAAAACATTTAATAGTGGCCAAAATGCAAAGATCTTAATACTTGAAGAAGAAATGTCTAAACTAAAAATTACGAATCGAATCAGTCCTTAAAACAAGAAAATAAAGCAGTGAAAAGGCCTCTGCAAAACAAATACTACAAGATTGTATCAACACACTCCAGACAGATGTATCATCAATAAAAGAGCAATTCGAGGAACTTGCAAGCTCACTTGACTTTGTGAAAAACAGAATAGAGAATGTGACATCAAAAACGGACATTAACTCACTCCAGCATGAAATGCAACTTCTAAGGAAAGAACTTGTAAATGATTGTGGTATTCAAAATAAAATATCAACAACAGTCCAGAAAGCGAATCAGAACATAAAATACTTTGTCACATCATCAAATAACACAAAGTCATTATCACCACCAAAGCCATGCCAAAATACAGCTGACACAGAAAAAAAATCTTCTTCACCTGGAAAAAGCACAAATCCAACAACAAAGAAATATGAGGTACATGTACTCATCCTAGGAGATTCCGTAATCAAGGGACTAACACGTGAGAAAATGAACTCCCAACAAGTAAATGTAAGCATAAAATCAACCAGTAAAGCAACCATTCAGGAATAACTCGCAATAAAACACAGACAAAAGAAAGAAGCTGATATAATTGTCCTACACACAGGCATGAAAAACATCTCAAATGCGAACTCTTCTCAGTCAATATGTGAAGATTTCACTGATCTAGTTACTTCCATACAATCAGCAAACCAAAATGTGAAAATAGCTGTAGCATCCATTCTGCCAAAAAGGAGAGATTTATCATCAAGAAAAAAAATTGATGAAGCAAATAGTCTGCTAGAAAAAGCTTTGCAAGAACAAAAGATTCCTCTTCCTAGATAAAACTAGCACATTCTTGAAATGTGATAAGATAAATCAGAATCTCTACTATGATGAAGTACACCTAGAAGGTTCAGCTATATTTGAAAAGCAAATTAATGCAGGCATAAGAAAAATCCTTGGGATTAATACCAACAATTCCGGACAAGAAAACAATATCTCTAGAGAACGTGTAAATTTTTCGGAATGCCAACATCTGGCATGGAAATGCTCGGCGACATCAACATCCCCATCAAAGATTCCGAATGTATCAGGGACCATGGAATCCCTGGCCAAGGACAACATGGATGGGACCACACCAGTTTTACAAAATGAAAACCTTGATGAAACTGTACTGAACATTACTGATCAAAATGAAAGGAACAAAACATATTAAACCTATTTATAAACAGCATGAACAAGCAAAAATTGGACTTTTAACCTTGAAGGTCAAGGTCATTTATGGATGAAGGTCAAGGTTAGTGTGGTATACTGAAAGGTCTTGTCCCAAGGGTTGTTGTGGCCAAGTATGTAGACAATACACCAAGAAATAAAAAAAGTTATGATCCAGGTACAAGTTTTCGGACGGCAACGGCAACGGCAAAGGCAACGGCAACGCCGACCTGACTATAACAATACCTCTACTTTTTTTTCCAAAAAAAAAGTCGAGCTAAAAACTGCTTTACAAGAATCGGTTAAATCCAAAATTTCAAATCTATAAATTTGAAATCCCCTTTGCTGACTTAAGCTATGTTAATCAGAAACCAATTAGCCTAGATGCCACAAAAGCAACAGGCCTAGATGGCAAAATTCCTAAAAAATTGCAGCTGATGTCATAAGTAAACCTTATAAGTATTATAAATCTAAGCATAAAAAGTGGAAATTTTCCAACTCAGCTGAAACAGTCAAAGGTTACACCAATTTACAACAAGGGTGCCATAGTCACAAAATACGCCCGTTTACGAAAGCTTTAGATTGAGATGGGGGCATTATAGATAAGTGTTATCTAGCAAGCAAGTTTTTATTCTTGGCACTGTGTTGTTAAATGAACCTTAAAACATATCAGTAGGGAAGATATTCACCTTTGACCTAGAGACTTGGTTCATGTGCACGGCACTACGTCTCATGGTGGTGAACAATTCTAAAAAGTAACATTAAAATTCCTCCATGCATTTAGAAAATATGCTCCGGACAACATCTGCATATTTAATAATCTCCAGTGACTTTAACCTGGCAAAATATTAACCTAAATTAAATGTGTCACAC